CCAGTGGCCAAGTGGGTGGGGAGACATACAGACAGGCGGGCTGCTGGGTGGATGGGGCTTGGCAGGCGAGGACTCTGGCTTGGTAACCAGCAACCTGTTGAGAATGGGAAGGAGAACAGTGACCAGAGGGAACCAGTTGGCCAGGAGGGAAGAAGACGTAATCTGACTAAACTCTATCATTTGCTCACAGATTGAAATCTAGTCTAGATATTTGCAGTTGTTGAAAATCTTCAGAAATTTCGAAGAGCAAGAGGAGTACTAGGTGTCACATTTCTGTTCTTTACCATGTCCTGAGAGCTAGAAGAGCTAGAACTTCGGTCTGCTGAGCCTGGGCCATTGGTAAGCTGGCTCAATAGATCTCTGCCCAATGACACTGGCTAGTCAGACTCCACATCATTCCCTGTTTTCCAAGCTCTAGCCAAAAAATCTCCAGCTCCTTAAAATATCAGCAAGAAGCTAGTCTAGTTGCCTCATAAAAAGCGTCTCCTGACCATAAGCTCCTGAGAGGCACACTGCCCCATGCCCAAATCAGGTCTAAGCCCTCAGGATGATAGTGGCCTTTGCATTTTTTCTGTTGTTTGGGCCTTGGTCGCCCATGGTAAAGCTGCTAATAATACTATAGAGTACCTAAGGATTGTCTACAGTGCCTCCTGGATCATTATTGCCTATAATCTCATGACATTTCCTCAAAATTCAATGTCTCTAACTAAATTCATTATCTTCACTTCCACACTTACCCACTCCCACATTTGCTTCTCTCTACCTCAGTGGACTGTTGGTGAGTGCTAAGCCCCAATATGCTCCTAGAATTCCAAACCAGAAACCTGGGAGGCAGACTAAATTTCACCTTGGATATAAAGCTAATAATGACTACCACTTATCGAATGTCTACCTTGTGCTGGGCCCAGGGCTAAGTAGTTTATGTGCATTTTGGTTACCTGGTCCTGTTGACCTTATCTCCTTAATATCACATGAAACTTGTCGCTGCATAGTTCAGCCTTGCACCATCTCTTGTCTGGGCACTTGCAGCGACTTCATTCATTTATTTATTCAACCAATATTTGTTGAGGCTCTGCCATGTCCTAGGCATCGGGTTGAAGATTCAATGGTAAGCAAAACATATCCAATCCCTCCTCCCATGGAGCTTACATTCTAGAAGAGACAGAGTTAAGCCATTTTTCCAATCCATTCTCACACTACAGTCAGCTTGCTGTTTCTAAAACACAGATCTAACCTTTCAGACCACTACCATGCAATCTTCAGGAAATGGTCCAAACTTGTTAACTTGGCATTCAAGGCTTCACAAGCCTTTCCCAATTTTCCTCTCCAAACTCAATATCCAGCCCCCTCCCTAAGACAGATGGGGACACACATACACACACTCACATCCCTCCTTTCTGCTCCTAACATCCCATCAACTAGCCAGACTTGACTGGATCCATGTTCTCCTCACATTTCATGCATTATCACACTTGCATGACTTCAGAGTTCCTCTGTGAAAACTAGTCCCTGGGGGTTCTCCCCACCCCAAAGGTTAGTGTCCCATGAAACAAGACGGCCCATCATGGGGCTGAATGTTGGAAGAAAGCCTTTGCACTCCTTACTTCCTCTGCCTGTAATACCTTTCCCCTCTTCACCTGGCGAACTCCTACTTATCCTTCAGGTCCCAGTTGGATGGCTCTTCCTTGTGAAGGCCTTCAATGTCCCCTCCTGCCTTCCTCTGCAGCCCCGTACTGGATGAGATACCGAACCTTTGTGCGTCCCTGCTGGTCCCACTATCATTGTTTACTGTCTGTCTCCCCCTGAGGGCAGAGGTCTCATCTGCTTTATTCACCACTCTATCTTTAGTGTCTGCCACGGGGTTGACACTGAGTGAATAAATTGTTTACTGGATAAAGGAATGAATGAATGAATCTTTGAAAAAAAAAAGAAGTGAAAGAAGTCCTAACCGAATGGACTGATATACTATGTCCACGCTTTGAAAGACAATATTGTTAAGATGTCAAATCTCCCCAAATTGATCTGTAGATTCAAAGCAGTCACAATACAAATCCCAGAAAACTTTTTAGTAGATATAGCAGATGTTAAAAAACCAAATTCTAAATTATATATAGATAAAGAAATTAGAATAGCCAAAAATATTTAGAAAAAAAAGAATAAAGTCAGAGGACTGACATTATCTGATTTCAAAGGCCCATGGAATATATACCAAGACAGAATATACCCTGGGCCACAGGGAAAACCTTAACAAATTTAAAAGAATTAAAATCATATATAGTGTATTCTCTGACCAAAATGGAATCAAACTAGATCTCGATAACAGAAAGATAATGGGGAAGTCTGTGAACACACAGAAGCTAAACAACACACTTCAAAAGAATCCATGGGTCAAAGAGGAAGTCTCAGGAAAATTAGAAAATACACTAAACTGAATGAAAATGAAAATACAACATACCAAAATGTGGAGGACATAGCTGAAGCAGTGCTGAGAGGGAAATTTATGTACTAAATGCATATAGAAAAAGAGGAAAACTCTCAAATCAATAATCTAAGCTCCCACCTCAAGAAGCTAAAAAAACAAGAGTGAAACAAACTCCAAGCAAACTGAAGGAAGGAAATTATAGAGATAAGAGCAGAAATTGATGAAATTGAAAACAGAAAAAAAAAGAGAAGTCAATGAAAAAAGAATTGGTTCTTTGTAAAGATCAATAAAATTGACAAACTTCTAGCAAGACTGACGAAAAAATATAGACACAAATGACCAATATTAGGAATGAAACAGAGATATCATAATAGACCCTACAGACATCAAAATGATAAGAAGGGCGTACTATGAACAACTCTACACACGTATATTTGATAATTTAGACAAAACGGACCAGTTCCTTGAAAAACACAAAAAAAAACACAACTCATCCAATATGAAATATGTAACTTGAATAGTCCTATAACTATTAAATAAATTAAATTTCACTGGAAAATTTTACTGGAAAAATTTACCAAACACTTAAGGAAGAATTAACACCAATTCTATACAATCTCTTCCAGATAATAGAAGAGGAAAAACACTTTCTGATTAACTTTATGAAGCTAGTGTTACCATGATACCCAAACCGGACAAAAACATTACAAGAAAATAAAACTCTAGACAATATCCTTCATGAGCAGAAACACAGAAGTCCACAAAAAAATAATCGCAGACTGAATTCAGCAAACATTAAAAGAATAATACAATGTGAGTAAGTGGGAAGACAGTGAACCTACAAAGGAAACAGGGAAGGAGAGAAAGAGATGGGAAAAAAAGACAGAAGAACACTATGGCTTACATGCCAAAGGAAAACCCTCAGGAGAAGGGGTATTAGTCAAGTTCATCGACTGTTGCAGAGAAGTCAAGCAAGATGAGAAATGAAACATTGCATAGTGACAAGGATGTCATTGATGAATTTGGTAAAAGCGGTGTATGAGAAGTGTTGGAGACAGGAGCCAGATTGCAGTGGGAGGGGAGTGAC